GGAGAGACAGCAATTCATTCAAAATTTGAGTAAAGTAAAAGTTAAATTAGATTTATTTCAATTATTCAGAAGTTATTCAGATAGTAATATTTACAGTATAGTATTTCGATATCTAAAAATAACGCATTTATATAATAGAATTTAATTCCTAAGAGTCATTCTGGTCCACACTCCATTCCAGTAGATGGCGGAAATGCATCTATCTGTTGTTTGCCAACCGCCAAAAAATATCAAAGAAGAAGAAGCTGACTGATAAACACAAAGAGAGCCGAATCATCAAACAGAAAGAACCTTCTGATCAAGGGGAAAATATCATGAAAAATCTAAGTAAATAAATGAGAATACACAGGACCTAGCATACAAGCTGTATAAGAGATTCTAATAGTTTTCAAAAAGAAAATATGCCTTCAGTTCTGCTTTTGCTTTGGAGTGGCGGCCTAGTGGTCAGGGCATAGAGCTTGGAAATCTAAGGTTCTGAGTTCGAGCCCCACTCCCACAGTCTGCCACTCTGGGTACCTGAGCAAGAGTGGCAGTTTATTTTTAGATATCAGATAAACTGATATCTAAGTCCATTAAAACTGATATTTAAAACTTTTATCTTAACCCCACACTGCTCCACACAATGGCAGCCCACTGCTTCCCAAGGGGATGGGTGAAATGCAGAGGTAAATTTCTCCAATGTGACATCAATAAAGTTTGATTATTATATTATAAATCCAGTTATGTTGAAAATGGCTTTAAAAAAACAGAATTATTTTCTTTCCATTAAATAAAATGTTAACATTTAAACTGTCGTGTCAGAAACAATAATATTTATTTCGGACATACAAAACCAGTGCCTATGCTTATATTTAACATAATCATTGGGTTAGGAGAATGAAGGTTTGCCTGCTGTCACGAATCTCCAGCTTCTTCAACCCTCCCCCAGCCCACAAAACCCAAAGACACTCACAGGACATGCAATGCTGCCCAAATGGTGTTTGAAAAGAAAACAACAAACTCACAGGAATTCTTCCTCTTTTGTGGATGATATAGGACCAACCCACATGGAAGAGGCAGGCTGCCATCATGCCCCCATACCCAGGGACCAGAACCTCCAGCCTGACCAAAGGCAGACCTGGGTGAATTTCTCTCTGAGTTTCAAGAACTTTTAGATGCCTGAAGAGGCTGGAGGCGTGAAGCTCCTGAGAAAAAAAGTAATTCCCTTTCGTGAGCCTGACATGCAAAGCTGCTAATACTGGAGAAAAAGGTAGAGGTATGGTACATTCAGGGACAGATTTTCCAGCTAAATAATTTGCCTTTCTGATGATTTTATGATCATTCCATGTGTTTATTGTTGTGTAAGACTAACAGGTTGAGCCTTTTTTCACTAAGGGTTTAAACGCTAAAATAACTTTCATATTTTTGTGTGTTCTCATATGCTCACTGCATTTGATCACCAAAATATGATCAAAGAGTCAATTAAGAGGAGTGCACTCATGTCTGGTAGCTACTAGCTCAATTAAAGAAGGTTAAAAATCAATTAACTAAGGCTTCTGATTATGAAAACCATTTAATAGAACATTATTTTACAAATATATTTTTA